TTCACACCCCAGCTAGACGGGTGACGCCCCAGCGGGACAGACCAGAGTCCATCGAGCCAGACCCCAAGACAGACCAAACCCCAACGGACTGCACAACAAAGACCAAACACACGACACGGAACACCAAACATACGACACACAACACCGAATGCCAAACGTTAACTCTGCACACAAAATATCAAGCAAGGAACGCTAAGCACACACACACACCAAACACACAACACCAAGCACTACAGACACCAAACAATAAAATACACCACACCTGATATTATACCAGACTGCGCTGACTCTAAATGGGCATGGTGGAAGACTTTCAACTACTACTACAAGGAACTTTAAATCCGCCACCGTGCCTTGTGAACGCTGGGGCGTGTTTGAATGCTCCTCTGCTGTCTGGTAATTCCCCAAACAGTGCTTGCATCACTAGGGGTTCTTACTTCGGTTAACCATCCCGGGACCTTCGCCGCCAAATCGCCGCCGTGCCGCCCGTCGCCGCCTGTCGCCGCCCGTCGCCGTCGCCGCCCGTCGCCGCCATCCCCGCCCGTCGCCGCGCGTGCCGCCCGTCGCCGCTCGTCGCCGCCCGTCGCCGTCGCCGCCCACCGCCGCCATCCCCGCCCGTCGCCGCCCGTGCCGCCCGTCGCCGCCCGTCGTCGCCCGTCGCCGTCGCCGCCCGTCGCCGCCATCCCCGCCCGTCGCCGCCCGTGCCGCCAGTCGCCGCCCGTCGCCGTTGCCGCATCGCACACATTGCACTGCATAGATTGCCTTACATGGCTTGCATCGCATACATTGCACGACGAATATTGCACCGCATTGACTGCATTACATAGGTTGCATCGCATACATTGCACCACATAGATAGCATCGCATACATTGCACATAGGTTGCATCGCAGACAGTGCACCACATAGATTGCACCGCAAAGATTGCATTACATTGGTTGCATCGCACACATTGCACCACATAGATTGCACCGCATAGATCGCATCACATAGGTTACATCGCATACATTGCACCACATAGGTTGCACCACATAGATTGCATGATATCGGTTGCATCGCAGATATTGCACCACATATATTGCACCGCGTCTATCTATATATATATATATATGGTTACAGCGCCCTCTGAGATCTACCTTTCAAACATGAATGTACATTTCCTTTTGTATACAAATGAAATAACAATCAACTCATTTAATCTATTTAACTATTTGATTAATTTAATTCAATTAATTCCTTTACTTTATTATTTAATTTATTTTAATTCATTTAATTTATTTAATTTTGATACACCTTCATCTGCCAAGGAGGTGACAGAGGGAAGGGGTTCCCAGGGCCATTAAAAATTAAATAAATTAAATAGATTAAATAAATTAAATAAATTAAATAATTCCTTGCGTTTTTTTTTTGCATTTACAATAGGAAACCTATTGTGCAATAAAAAACACAGGAAATCATTTAATTCATTTAATTTATTTAATTTATTTAATTTATTTAATTTATTTAATTTTAATACACCTCCATCTGCCGAGGAGGTGACAGGGGGAAGGGGTTGCCAGGGCCATTAAAAATTAAATAAATTAAATAAATTAAATAAATTAAATAAAATAAATAATTCCTTGCGTTTTTTGCATTTACAATAGGAAACCTATTGTGTAATAAAAAACACAGGAAATCATTTAATTTATTTAATCTATTTAATTTATTTAATTTATTTAATTTATTTAATTTTAATACACCTCCATCTGCCGAGGAGGTGACAGGGGGAAGGGGTTACCAGGGCCATTAGAAATTAAATAAATTAAATAAATTAAACAAATTAAATAAATTAAATAATTCCTTGCGTTTTTGCATTTACAATAGGAAACCTATTGTGTAATTTAAAACACAAGGAATCATTTAATTTATTTAATTTATTTAATTTATTTACTTTATTTAATTCCAATACACCTCCATCTATCGAGGAGGTGATAGGGGGAAGGGGTTATCAGGGCGATTAAACAGTAAATAAATTAAATAAATTAAATAAATTAAATAAATTAAATAGATTAAATAAATTTAATAACGTAAACAAATTAAATAAATTAAATAAATTAATTAAATAAATTAAATAATTCCTTGCGTTTCTGGCAGTTACACTAGGAAACCTATTGTGTACAATAAGAACCTATTTTGGAATAAACACGCAGGACATTAAAAGGAACATGCGATTGGAAGTGTCGGCGATGCAATGCCAAGAGAGATTTGGATGATTTTCCTATGCACCACGCGCACCAGCTCGTCAGTATCCAAAGGACAACATAATGGAGAGAGCATGATTCAATAGCTATTTGACATGACATGTCCCATGGCTTTCCATTTGTCATCGTGTTCGTTCCAATACTTCCACTGGAACTCTCTCGTATACAAATCTACAATGTCATCGCGCGCTTTCATCGTTTTTGGTACTCCATTGTTTTTCAAAAGACCCCATACTCGATCAATAATCTGAGTTCCTTTCTTAACCCATCGCTTGACAAATTTAACATTCGACGTCCCCAATAGATTTGTCTTGAGATAATCCAACGGCAATCGGTGGCACCATCGCGCAGCATACACTGGTCGAGGCCGCTTGTGCTTGACAGCGTCGACGACTACACCAGGCACCTTGGTGAATCGGTAAGCTCTGGCCCCGTCGCTGTGTAGAATGATTTTGCGCCGCTTCAGGAACTTGTCGCATATGGGTTTCCATTCTGCTTTTGAGATTGGCCCCGAAGATGCGAATGAACCTTTTCCTTTGCCGTGCGCCTTTGCTTTAGTGGTTTTTGATTTCATCTTTACCAATGCCAAAACTTCGGCGGTCGCCTCTGGTTATCAGACCGCAGCATTGCACCCAGGTAATTCGCATACCATCTTTACTTTTGGCTCCTCGAACAGACGTCTCATCCACTTCCACTTCCGTCCATTTCTGTTGATCTCCAAAAACCATTTTTGATTGCTGCCGCAACACATAGCGACGAACAGCCCGAAGCCATCTTTTGTTCACGCGCTCTATAACCTTTTCTGACATACCAGTTATTAAATGCATCTTCCCCGACGGGATGCCCGCTGCTCTACCGAACAAAACTTGAGCTTGCTCATTCAATGAAATTTTACGACTGCCCCATCCTAAATTGAATATCGGATGGCACGAGTGTGGATACACGAATTTATTGCAGCATTTTGCGTTACATCGATGAACCCATCCTCTTTTCTCAACGCGTCGCAGGGGCTTCAGCGAAGCGCTGCCACACAGAGGGCACACGCCTTCGAAGTTTTTCAACAGACCAATGCTACGAAGATGTTCGATGGTTTGGCGCTCAGTCATCTGCGCCAACCTGGTCAAATTCATGCACCATTCTTGAGAACGGCATCCTCTGCTCGTTGTGTCTACTTTCTGGCCAATAGGCACGTATGGAACTTCCTTGGGAACGCGTCTCAAACCGCCCGCTTTGTTTTTGAAGTTGGGTAGCTTCCCACATAACAGTCTGCCTTGGCCACGCTTCGGCGATGGATAAGAATGATGCGAAGGCGACGGCCTGCGCAAAATCAACCGCTTTGCACCCGCCTCCAAATCGAGTAAAATATTCTCTGGGGCATTCCCATCCAATGGGAAGTCCGTGACCTGGAACAGAACGAGGTGTTTCCTGTCTATCGCTGCGTCCCAAGCTCTTGCCCGCACGGCGCGCTCCACTGTGCACTTCACATCACCATCAATAACTGTATAATTTCCTCCTTCACCGACATACAGTGCCACGCAGTGCGGGGCGCCTTTGTTCTCTGAGTGCGTCAAATACCACCCCCTTGTTAATTCTTCTTCAGACATGCGCACTGGAATAAGATGCACGTCACACACCGTCGCTGCTTGTCTGTACGGTCGTACTTTCCTTTCCATGGCATCACTGTTATCTTCGTTGTTTGCTGATGCCTTTGCTGCAATGGCGCGCACTGTCGCAGTCGCGCGCGCAATGGCAGCCAGCGCGCAGTTGCCTGGCCTCTTCAGCACATCAGGCAAAGGCTCCTGTACTGCTGTTGAAGACCCTTCAGCGAAAATCGTGTCCATGAATGAATTGCGGGACTTGCGCGCGATCTTCACGCGATAACCAGTGGCAAGTAGAATCGCCTCCTCGGATTCCTTCGCGAACTCCTCATCATTGGACAATACGTTCGGGTCCGTCATGATCCCGTCGAAGTGCAGGCTCAGGTGTGCTGGCCGACTGCACCTTCCGAGTACGAAGCGCACCCAGGCTTCCAAGATGTAGTCCTCCACCGAAGTCCAAGTATAGAACCATGCAGTTGCTGCGGGGTTCTGCTTCTCCTGGGCATCTAACACACATGTTGCAAACATTCTGGGTTTATCGATGCTGCTAACCATCGCAGCAAAAATCCTTCTTGCTCAAGAAGCTTCAAGAAAAGATTTGTCGACAATTCCTCTGGTATCTTGCCTCCGTTCACCACCGTGATGCAAACGCGCTTACACTGTTCTGGAAGAAGCCTAAGTTGCCGAAATACGTCGTCTGCGTTCGAAGCCACCTGCTCGATCGCTTTGAAGGGTGCAGCTGGGTGGTCAATGAGAACATTAACTCTTTTGCTTATTTGCCACGCTAAGGTGTACATCGTCTTTACAATATCCCAATCTCGTTTGTTCGGAACGGCAATGTGCTTAGATGCGTTGCTGATGGCCTGCACCCCACTGCCGTCCACGTATCGTCTGGACCTCTGTTCTACCTTGCGATGGTAATGCGTTTCAAGTGTATACTCAGCGAGAACAATTCCATCCTGGCCAGAGCTGCAGTTCGAAAGATGATCTGCAAGCTTGGACAAGGCGTGCTCTTGGCGTTGTAACTTTTCCGCTTTACTCTTGCATTCATCCCGCAGCTGGGCAGCTCGTTGAGGAGGCTTACCTTTCTACTTCGGCACGTGATATTCTGCCAGCTGTAATAAATACGAATGCAATGTCGTGGAATTTTTGCGTCGGCTTGCTCCCATGGCATACTCCACGAGATCCCTCGACAGAATGTTCTCCTGGAGCTTGACGATGTCCTCCGCGCACTCTGTCGGAGCCAGCGATTGCATTGTCCCCTGGAAACAGGCTGCTGGCATGTACGCAATGTTGCCCTTCTGTCCGATCCCATTCTGAATGTCCGCCACCGTGTCTCTGGGCACGGTGCGGGCGTGTCTTCAGAGGGACCTGAACCTTCCGCGGCTAGATAGCCCCAGGGTATCCCAGAAGGCCTCGAAGAAGCCACAAGAGACCTACAAGAAGCTACCACAAATACCTACACTGCCTTCAAGCGGACCCCGAAAAGCTCTCCGCGACATCCCAGCGAACACCAAGGAAACCTATGATACACAACCCAAACAGAGCGCGGAGTGGGCCGAAGGCCAGTGTGATACAACCTCTTCTGAATTAGCCGATTAAACTCCTTTCGCCTTGTCGCTGGAGGACCAGTCACAAGCCCAACGCCCAGCTTGTTCGAGAATTCCTCCACCGTGACAGAGTCGATGCAATTGTCTAGCATCACAACAGCTATGCGCATCGCGAGCTTCTCATCTTCACCTTGCGCTGCGGCAATGGGATCAAATGGCGGCGGCGGCGCAGCGCTCGCTAGTGTGCCTCCTGCGCCCTCATCAGTTCCGCTTGACACTCCTGTGGCCGCTTCCACGCAGCTCTTCGTAACACCACCGTCGCCGCCCTATCGGGCGCGGCCAACCCGACCCCTCAGCAAATCATGCGCTTCCATGCCGCGCCCCTCGCTCCCCAAGAGAATCTCTTGGAACCTCGCGGTGGGCACTTCGCGGAAGGGCGCGGTGTGCTAGGGGTCGGTTTGGCCACCCCCGACCTCTGCGTAATCCTCGATGATTTGCAGACTGTCATCTTTCGTGTGCTTTCGCATGAAGCCGTGGAGTATCTGCCGCAGCGCTAGCGCCGCAGGTGCCGACTTCAAAACGTCCTTCAACTTAGGGTCCTTGCAGAAGATACTTTTGTTCGACGCATTGGGAATGGCAGCCACGAGATCGGGGGGCAGGAGCTTGGCCTTGAGAATCACCACCCAAGAACGACGATGGATACTGTCTACGCTCGGCAGCGTTACACCAGTAAACTTGATCAATTTGTTAAGTTCCAGCCTCTTCCATCCATATAATGAAACTAAATGCGTAACAATGCAGTAAGGTAACCGTGCAGCAATGGGATCAGCAGAAATATGCTTCTTGTAAAGATCTTCTCGAAAACCATGTTTGGAATTCTCCACTGCTTCTTGTCCGGTGGTGATGAGCTTGTGGACCAAGGTCTCTGCTTGCTTCCGAAGTTCGTGGTCGTCGTAGTATACGTTTGTATCTAGGAAGGCATGCAAGCCAGAGAACGCGTTGTCTATGAGGTGCGTCAGCAAAGATTGTCCCACCCCGCCAGGGCCGACAGTCCAAAAACAACGATCGATATTCATTCCTTGCAAAACAAGACACATTGCTGCTAGTTGACAGTCAAGGGCGTGTGAGTTGCCCCAAAAAGTTGACGATAAGAATCGCTGGACTGTTTGTCGCGCGTCAGCGAGGACGGGGTCATGGAGATTATGTGGTATGTGGATGTAGACGTTCTGGCACGGCGTCTTGTCCACGGAAGTAACGCACCCGCTGGCGTCGAATATGAGACACGCATCACCGAAGCAGGCGCCCGAGGACGCCTGACGAGGTGAGCCGCACCACTCTGCGTAATGTTTGATTATCTTGGTGCCCAGCAGCTCCCTCTGCAATGTTACAGAAATTCGCTGCGCCGTCTTGGCGAAGAAAGGGCCCTGCTCCAACTGCTCCTCAACGGCTTCGCCAGGGGGGCCATCGGCTCCACCAGCAAATGCGTCTTCTTCTTGATCCTCGCGCGCAACTCCTGGCTCTGCCTCATGATGCCTCCCTTGGCCAGATATGCTTCTCGACGCACATCCTTCGCAGTGGCGGAGGAAGTCGAGATCTGACATGTTCAACTTAGATCTCATGCCCTTGAACTGCTCAACGAACGCCTCGTCCGCCATTGGCTGCCACTTGTGCATCTGCAAGAACACGCCTTCAACTTGCAAGAGCGATCTCCTGCATATGGCTAGAACGCCCTCGGAGATGAGGCCTTCGAACGGGCGCCAGGACCCGTCGCAATACATGTAGAGCACGCCGTTGTGTGCGCGCAGGACATCACCGCCGAGCAGTACATGTAGAAGTAAACAATGTTCGCGTAGACCAACGTCGCATGGGCGGCATCTATGAAGAGCGAGCGCGGCAATGAGCACGCGTCGTACATCACTCCCCAGTTCGCGGCACGACGCTTCGACCAATTGGTTCCATGCGTCGGTCAACGACTGGATGGAATCACCGCGTTGTTGCACTGACTTTCGCATTGTCCTCCTGGCCTCTTCTCCGCTCTTGTCGTACGCCGCGAGCAGGTCGACCGTCGACTCGCCCTCTCTTTTCTGGCGTTTGCGAGACACCTGTGACTCTGCGATGTGTTCCTCTCTTGCCGCGGCCTCCTGGATCGACTCGTCAGGGAGGTCGCATGGTGCGGCATCTTCATCTTCCACGTCTTCATCGCCTGCCACTTCAATGCTGTAGGGGTCGCCGAAATCCATGTGGATTATCCCGGAAGAATAGATGATAATGAAAAAACGGGCGCTTGTCCTCTCCACGCTCTGCACGAATGTAGTGAGCGTAGTGGCAATCCGTTCGTTGACGTTGCCGTCGTCAACGATCTCCACCTCGGGCTCGTGCGTCATCCTGGGGAACCGCACGGTGAAAGCATGGCCTGACATGCCCGCCACGGGCGATACTTCCAGGCACACGCGGCAGGCGCCTGACCAAAGTAAATTCGACCATCTTTGACGCCGTTCGAACTGCAACTGCGGAAACGAGACCTGCCCTCGCCCAGTGCAGACACGGTGCGCCAACACGTTGAAGTACGCTACTGTCAGCGGCGCTCGAACTTCCCATGTTGGACAGATGGAAGCCCATGCGTCGTCCGCAGCTGCGGTGGCATTCAGTAAACACGTCCCCATATCAGACAACGACAACTCCGCGTCGAAGACCCTCTCTGTCTGGCGCAGGGCGTCGGGAATGAAATTGATGACGTTCTCCGAAACATCTCCGCTCTCCCTCTCGATGTCCGAACAACCGCGCGCGCTGCCCCCCGCCACCGTCACGCGGTAAGGGTTTCTCTCGGGCGACGCGCCGCCAAAGTCGAGCCGAGCCTCAGCGCAGCCCTCGATGCCAGCCGCGCTCTCTCTGACCTGGTCATTCGTGGCGGCGCGGCCTTTCTTGCCCGCGCGGCCATGACGGTTCTTCTGCCAGCGCTGGGGGGCGTCGAGGAAGTAGGGCTGCTCGTTCGTCTCGCGAATGATGGCGTCGAGATCGTCCAGATCCACGGGGTTGGTTGGGGCGCGCTGGGAGGCACTGCGCTGCTGCTTTTTCTTCTTCTTCATCATCTGCGAGGGGGAGTTGGACGACGGCTCTCGATCGCCCTTTCCAGAGTCACCGAACAGATGCTGCCACCATGCCTTCGCCGCAGCGGGCGCAGCTCTCAAGTGCCCACTGGCTTGCTTCACTTCGTGTCCTGGCTCATTGTGGATGTAGCCCCAGGCCGGCTTAGGAAAGAGCACGGCGTTCGTGAACCGCAGGTCCACGCACAAGTCGTTCCATGTTGACTTGCCCATTGACAGGAAGCTCGTCGTGGGTGACACCGCAGCGACGCCGTGCGGCGTTCCATCGATGGTCTCGGCGGCGGAGTCGACGCCCATGTCGCACGGCAACAAAGCTGCAACCTGGCAATAATTGTTATATTGTCTTTGTTGTTTTTTGAATGTGTTTGATGTTTTGATTTTGTTTGATGTCATTTTGTTGGCTGTAACCTGGAAATACGACCTCGAAGCGTCGTCGCGCAGCATTACATCGATGGTCTCGGCGGTGGAGTCGGCGCCCATGCCGCACGGCAACGTGGCTGCATTCGGATCGGTGGAGCTGAACTTGTTGTAGATGTCACGCAGGTCCTCCAGGCCCTCGGCATCAAAAGTGATTGAATTTGAATCATCGACATTGATCGGGCGAGCTGTCCTCGAACGTCCCCGCAATGCAGGTGCTGTAGTATCCAAATCGGGCAACCCGTCCGAATCTGCACGCGCAGTCCGCGGATGAGACAGTGACCTGGATCTCTGGGACGCACGAGGTGAATCTGAGAAATGGATGAACGTGTTCCTCACGCACAACATATGTGCGCAGTCGCAGGCTCGGTACTGAAAGAATGCGAAATGCGAAATTGCAAACCTCAGCGTTGACTGACTTGAGCCTGCAAAGCGAATGATAACCTGGTCCTGTTGTGGGTTTCGTTGTAGCTCCTGTTGTGGTTCCTGTTGTGGTCTCTGGTGTGTTTCCTACTGTGACTCCTGTTGCGATTACTGTTGTGGCCCCTGTTGTGGTTCCTGTTGTGGTTCCTGCTGTGGTTCTTGTTGTGGTTCTTTGTTGTGGTTTCCGTTGTGGTTCCTGTTGTGGTTCTGGATGGGACGACACCAATCCAACAATTTTTTCAAAAAACAAAAAATTGTGGCGCGGGTGCCAACACAAATAATGGGCGGGTCTTGTTGTGGCTCCTGATGTACTTCTTGCTGTAGGTCTGATGTGGTTCCTGTTATGGGTCCCGTTGTGGTTCTGGTGTGGTTCCGTTGTGGTTCTTCGTGTGGCTTCCGTTGTGGTTCCTGTTGTGGTTCCTGTTGAAGTTCTTGCTGTGGTTCTTGTTGTGGTTATTGTTGTGGTGCCAGCTGTGGTTCCTGTTGTGGTGCTGGGGAGGGGGGCAATTAAAAACTTGCGTAATGTTTATGTAGTGCAGACATGCAACATAAGGCTTGGACCAAGGTCGACGGAATACGATATGTCCGGCTGCAACTACAATCTGAAGATAATCTTCCGCCGCGTTCCACTCCACTTCATCTTTATCTCCCTCCTTCCTGCTCACCCTCATCCTTCCTCCTCCTCCTCCTCCTCCTCCTCCTCCCCCGCTCCCCATATGCTAATTCCACGCTTCCGCCAGCTTCCTGCAACGACAATATGAAGATAATCTTCTGCCGCATTCCACCCCACTTCATCTTTATCTCCCTCGTCTCTGCTCACCCTCCTCCTTCCTCCTCCTCCTCCTCCCCCGCTCCCCTATGCTAATTCCAAGTTTCCGCCAGCTTCCGCAAGCAACAGAATTGTCAGCCGAAGTTGCACTCCCACGCATCCCACTCCACTTCATCTTTATCTTCCTCCTCCCTCCTCCTCACTCCTCCTCCTCCTCCCCCCCCCTCTTCCTCCTCCTCCTCCTCCCTCCTCCCGCGCTCCCCTATGCAAATTGCAAGCTTCCGCCAGCTTCCGCAAGCATCAGAATGCTTCCGCCAACTTCCGCCAGCTGCGGCGGAGTGCTTGGCGAAGATACCTTCAGAGAGTCGGAAGATCCCCAAAAAAAATGCCACCCCGAGCATGGTCCTCGAAATTCCAGCCCCATGCCGTTGGGCACAGGGCTAGAGTTTCGAGAACCATGCTCGGGGGGGCATTTTTTTACACACGTGGATGTGTTTTCCTCCTCCTCCTCCCTCCTCCTCCTCCTCCCCCGCTCTCCTATGCTTATGGCAAGCTCCCGCCAGCTTCCGCAAGCATCAGAATGCTTCCGCCAGCTGCCGCCAGCTGCGGCGGAATGCTTGGCGAAGAAACCTTAAGAGAATCGGAAGATCCAAAAAAAATGCCCCCCCGAGCATGGTCCTCGAAATTCCAGCCCCATGCCGTTGGGCACAGGGCTAGAGTTTCGAGAACCATGCTCGGGGGGGCATTTTTTTACACACGTGGATGTGTGTTCCTTCTCCTCCTTCCTCCTCCTCCTCCTCCACCGCTCCCCTATGCTAATTGCAAGCTTCCGCCAGCTTCCGATGCCGATGCTCGGGGGGGGGGGGGATGAATGCTAGAAGGCTGGCGAAGCGGGAAATGGAGAAAGAGAGAGAAAGAGAGATGAAGAACGAGAGGTAGATAACACGAGGACGAACGAACTAAGACAATAATCAGATAATATGACAACGCAGAGAGATGGAGGAGCGCTTCCACTCGATAGAAACCATATGAAAACGGCGAGGTCCGCCACAATTCCCCGACCTCGAGAGTTAAGGAATGGAGGAAGGAGCGAATAAGAAGACGGTAAAAAGAAGAAGAGGGAATAAAGCCAATCAAGACGAGAAAGGTAGATCACAGAGGGCGCTGTGAGCATATATATATATATAGGTAGATAGATATGTGTGTGTGTTGCATGACATAGGTTGCAGCGCATACATTGCACCACAAATGCATCGCATAGGTTGCATTTCATACATTGCACCACATATACTGCACCACATAGATTGCAAGAACCTACCGTTTGGGGTCCACACTGGCTAACCTGTTTCTTTCATGTGTTGTATTGCCGAATTCTCCCTTGCTAGCAAGATCGTTCCGAACATCCCCCATTCTTGCAGCGCCGATTGGGGGCAATCCCACAAAGAAATGACCTTTTGAACAACGAGTTCTGGCCGGGGCGGCCGAAAACGGCCAAGCATCCAAAAACACCCTAAACAGCCAATAACCAACAACCAACAACAACAAAACTGATCGGGAAGCGCCGATGTGGCAAATGGGTTGCTTGAAGTAGGACAACCGAACACCCGACCCCCTCTTCCACAAGCAAAAACCCTCTGTGCAAGCACGGTTTGGGGAACTTGATTATGTGTATCGAGAGAATGGGAGAGAGAGAGAGAGAGCGGGAGAGAGAGAGAGAGAGAGCGGGGAACTCGATCATATGTATAGAGAGAGAGGGAGAGAGAGAGAGAGAGAGAACACAAAAAGACAAACGCACACGCCTCCGGGGAACCGGTCGTGATCCAGGTGGCCAGCTCCCGGCCAGCACCACCTCCCAGCATCAGCCCCATGGAGTTGAAGCCGCAGTTGTTGTAGAAGCCACGCACCTCGGCGAACCCCCTCCTGCCCCTTCGTCCGTGCCCTCCTCCTCCTCTTCCTCCTGCTCCTCCTCCTCCTCCTCCTCCTCCTCCTCCTCCTCCTCCCCCCTCCTCCTCCTCCTCCTCCTCCTCCTCCTCCGCCTCCTCCGCCTCCTCCTCTTCTTTCTCTTCCTGATTCTGTTGCTGACCCTCGTCCTCGTCCTCCTCGTCCTCCTCCTCCTCGTCCTCCTCCTGCTCCTGCTCCTGCTCCTGCCTCTCCTCCTCCTCCTCCTCCTCCTCCTCCTCCTCCTCCTCCTCCTCCTCCTCCTCCTCCTCCTCCTCCTCATCGTACTCCTCATCATCATCAGCAGCATCAGCATCATCCTCCTCCTCCTCCTCATCCTCCTCCTGCTCATGTTCCTGCTCCTGCTCCTGGTCCTCCTCCTCCTCCTCCTCATCCTCCTCCTAATGCTCCTGCTCGTCCTCCTCCTCCTCCTCCTCTTCCTCCTCCTCCTCATCCTCCTCCTCATCTTATTATTATTAGTCTTCTTCTTATTATTAGTCTTATTATTCTTCTTACTATTTTTAGTATTATAATTATTAGTAGTAGCATTCTACTTAGTCGCATTGTTATTATTTGTATTGGTATTAGTGTTATTCGTCTTAGCGTTCTTATGATTAGTCTTATGAGTCGGATTATTCTTAGTAGTATGTCTCTTCTTATTATTAGTATTGCTAGCATTCGTATGCGTAGTGCTATTATTCTTCTTCGTCTTCTCATTAGTATCATTATTCTTATTCGCATTAGTATTCGTATTAGTATTATCAGTATTACTACTAGTATTATTAGTATTAGTAGTGGTAGTAGTAGCAGTAGTAGTAGTAGTATTGGTATTAACATTAGTATCGCTAGTATTATTAATAGTAGTCTTATTATTATTAGTAGTACTCCTCCTCCTCCTCATCCTCCTCCTCCTCCGCCTCCTCCTCCTCCTCCGCCTCCTCCTCCTCTTCCTCCTCCTCCTCCTCCTCCTCCTCCTCCTTCTCCTCCTCCTCCTCATGTTCCTCATCCTCCTCCTCCTCCATCCTCTCCTACTCTCTCCTCCTCCTCCTCCTCATCCCCCTTCTCGCTCCTCCTCCCTCTTCATCTCATCCTCCTCTCATCCTCCTCCGCCTCCTCCTCCTCCTCCTCCTCACTCCTCCTCCTCCTCCTCTTCCTCCTCCTCCTCCTCCTCCTCCTCCTCCTGCTGCAGCGCCCAGTCGGACCGTGCACAGTGGCCCGAAGCTTGCGTTGGCTGAGCACGACTTGCATTATAATGCTGCGCTAGGTGCCTGGCGGTGCCGCGACTGTAATGCTTCAGCGTCGTCGCAGTCTACCCTCAAAGGCCTGCGAAGCGGTGCTGCCAGGCAGTGCCGCCCGACTGCCATCCAGAGGTGGAGAGCGCAGCTGCTCTTCGCTGAGAACCTGGGGTCGACCTCCGAATCGTCCAAAGCCGCCTCTGCTGCCCTTGCCCTGGCCGAAGATCCCTTGGGTCCTGGGGTGCCCCACGTCCCTCCTGTGGTCCTCGTTCCGCCTCCTCCTCTGCCTCCTGAAGGAACCACTGGCCAGGGCACCGATGGGCTTGAAGTCTTCCGTGAGTTGAATCACAGGCCAGTTCGACATGACCGAACAATTGTTTGCCTGTCTTGTACTTGTTTCCTTATTTTGCCCCCAGGGCATTGTCGTGGCTTGAAGCGGTGCCGCACGAGCTCGTGCCGACCGTGCTGTGCAGGCTAAGAAGCTGTTGAATGCTGAGCGCGGGAAGCACCCCACAACAGGTGACCTCCTCGATCTTGTG